TTTCATTCCTGATTACATTCTTGTAAATTAGAATTTATTCCTAGATACTGTATACTGCATCCATTAGAGCCCTTAGCATATTATTTATAGTTGTTTTAAATTCTCAAACTAGTAATTCCAATATCCCTGACATGTCTTCTTCTTATGCTTGTTCTTGCACTACCAACAGTTTTACCTTTTGGTGTGCTTTGTTACTGACTTAATTGCCAAGTATGATATCCTAGATAAAAGAGACCAAGGAAAATGAACCTTTACTATTGTGGTGCTTAGTTGTCAAGGAAGGGTAAGTATTTTATAGTTTTATAATGAGGCCTCAGTCTTTTACTGAACTTGGGCCTCTGGACTGTAAATTGCACACATACTTTTCAGTACCCACTTCCCCTCTGTGACAGGATAGATACTATGGTTCAAAGTTAGGTATTTTCCTTTCCTTAGGTGCATTAGGCTCTGTTAAACATTTTTTCCTTAAGACTGACCTTGTTAAGAAAAACAAAGTACTCTGGTATGTGTAAAAGTAGGACCTGTCCCCTTCTAGAAGCATGGGAATTTGCTCTGATATTCATTGTGAGAGTCTAGTAGAGATCTGGGAAGTAAAATTCACTAAAACATGGGGACACACTGAATGACCTGGTGCTCCTAGAGTTTATAACTCTCAGAAATTTCCACCTTGAGTTTCCAGAATTTGTCAGTTAGAGTTCAAATTTTCCTACAATCAGTACAAGTTCACAAGGAAACTTGCTCAGATAAGTTGTGATTCACGGTATAATTACTCATTTCCACATGGGCAGCTGCCATTTGCCCCGAGACCTCACTTTTCTTCTAGAATTAAGAAAAAGAACTGTTAGAATGGATTAGCAACTTCCAAACTTCTTTTATGCTGGAAGAGAACTAGAAGCCTTGAATTTGGATATTACCTTAAATTTTGATGTTACGAATTCATTATTCTGCAAGCTGGCAGATTAATTACAAGAACTTTGCTATACGAACTATACTTCAGGAAAAACTCTTGTTGAAATATTCTAGCTAACCATTACATTAGGAATAATAACAAAAAGATACTGCCATTTTACAATTCCAACTGAAATAATGGATCTAAACACTAAACATCAATTGCTTCTAAAACTATTCCGTAAAAGGCCAAAGGAAAACTTTTCAAATAGATATATCAGTCTGGCAAAACTGGACACTATTACTCACACTTAAAATCACAAAAAGATAAACAATATATAAAACAATGGGAAGTCTATACCAGTATCTATGATGTATTCATAAATAAAATTAACAGCCAGATAATTATAAACCTTCTCCATATAATTTCCAGACTACAGAAAAACTGAATCATGAAAGCAAATGTGAAATCACGTCATAAGATGCTAACCAAAAAATCCAAAATGAAGGAAATCTAATGTTTTTCTTTCAATTATTTTTAAAGAAGTAAAACTGATTTACAATGTAGTTTGTGATTTAGAAGTATAGAATCTGTCACTTTGGGTATTGTCACCACACAACACCCATACCAAAAAACTAAAGTTCTCTACCATAGTCCATTGTGCTGTATCCACACATTTTTCTGTACCCACCCCCATCTCTACCTCACTGGTAGTCTCAAATCTATAGTCAGATTTCTAAGGTTTATTATTGGTTTGGTTCTATCCGACCCTTTGTTTTGTGACTCTATTTTCAACATGTAAGTGAGACTATCTGATATTTATCTAACTCCTGAAATTTTGCTTAGCATAATGCCTTAAATATCCATCCATATTGTCACAAATAACGAGAAATGGTATTTTTTATAGGTGAGTTATATTCCATTGTGTATATATGGAATGTATATATGTATATATCCTGATCCACTCATCTTTTCCTAGACACATAGGTTGTTTCCATAGCTTGAATACTATAAATAGTACTACAAAGAATATCTGAGTTCATATGTCCCTTCAAATTAGTGTTTTTGCAGTATTCAAATAAATATCTAGGAACAGAGTTGCCAGACCAAGTAGTAAGTACATTTTTAATATTTTGAGAAACCTCCATTATTTTCCATAGGAGATAGACTAGTATACATTCTCACCAACAGAATACAGGGTTTGCTTTCATCCACATCCCTCAATACTTAGTGTTTCTGGTCTTTTTTTTTTAAAAAAAGATTTATTTCATTTATACAACAGCCAGGATACAGACTCTTATTTATACAGATGCATGGGATACAGGCTCTTATTTATACAGATGCAAGTGAAGGTGAGAGGACTCACCAGAGACAGAGCAGGGAACAGAACAGGCAGACTGACGAAATACACTGTGGAGGGGAGCAACGGGAGAGACAGGAGAGGTCCACTAGCCACATGGGTTGCTCCAAGGCCAGCAGGGATCAAACTGGCACTGCAGAGGCTGCAGACAGCTTCACAGCTGTGCGCTCAACCGCCTGCACCACCAGGGAGGCCCTCGGGTCTTTTTGATATGCGATATTTTCACAGGTTTAAGGTGGTATCTCACTGTGGTTTTGATTTGCATTTACCAGACAATAAGTGATGATGAGCATTTTTTCATGTGGCCATCTCTATGTCTTCTTAGGAGAAGTGTCAATTTAGCCTCTTCTGTCCATTTTTTTTGATTGACTTTTCTTTTTGTTGAGTCCTATGAGTTTCCTTGCAGATCTTGGAAATCAATCCCTTGTGAGACGTATGGTCTGCAAATATTTTCTCCCATTTGACAGGGTGTCTTCTGTTTTGATAGGGTGATAATATTGTTCACTGTGCACAAGCTTTTTAGTTTGTGGTCCCAATAGTTAATATTCACTTTGCTTTCATTGCCATTCAAGCTATGGAAACAATCTATGTGCCTAGGGATAGATGAGTTGATCAGGAAGATGTGGCACAAATCCAAATAGAAATCTTTAAAGCCTATGTCGTAAGATGGTTTGCTTGTATTTACTTCCACACATTTTATGGTTTCAAGTTTTATATCCAAGTGTTTCATACATTTTCAGTTTATATTCCTGTGTAATTTGAGATAGTGGTCTAACTTCATTCTTTTGCATGTGGTTCTCCAGTTTTCCCAACACCATTTATTGAAGAGGCTTTCCTCATTCCAACAAATGTCATCAGCTCCCTTGTCTGAGATTAAGTGTCCATATAAGTGTGAGCTTACTGCATTGTCTGTATGACTATTTTTGTTACAGCACCATACTGTTCTGATTATTACAGCTTTTTAGTGTTTTTTGAAGTCTGGGATATTCCTGTTTTGTCCTTGTTAGCTATTCTGTGGGTCTGTTGTAGTACCATATGAATTTCAGTACAGTGTGTTCTGTATCTTTGAAGAATGGCATTCAATCCCTTAGAACTAAATATTGAATTTCTTGGCCCTCCCCTGGTGGCGCAGGTGGTTAAGTGTGAAGCTGTGAAGCACTGTGAAGCTGTCTCCAGCTTCTGCAGTACCTGTTCGATCCCGGCCGGCTGGTGAGGGTCCCACATGGTGTGGCAGACCTCTCCTGTTACACCCACTGCTCTCCTCAGCAGTGTATTTCATCAGTCTGCCTGTTCTGTTCCCCGTTCGTCTCTGGCGAATCCTCTCACCCTCCCGTGAATCTGGCCTGTGCCCCAGTTCTTGTATAAATAAATAAATCTTTTTAAAATAAATAAATAAATATTGAATTTCTTTAACAAATGACATTTTAAAAAGAATGGACAATGTGGACAATGTTTCAATCATAATTCAAATAAATTAACTATAAGAAAACATTTAAACATCAACAAGTTGAGCACAGCCAAGATATTTAATAACATTAAGGAATTACTGTTTTGTTTTTGGTGGGATAATGTTAATACACCTTATTTAAGAGCACTAATATTAGCAACATATATTAAAAATGCCATGGTTAAATAAATGTTACTTAAAATTCTCATTGAACTGATCAAGTGTAGGAAAAAATGTGAAAGAGGAAACAAATAACTTTTTTAATTGACTATATAATTGAGTGAATAGATGTGAGTTCATTTTACTGTTCTTTCTCCCTTTATGCATATGAACATTTCACAATAAAAAATGTAAAAGTTGGGCCTTCCCCTGGCGGCGCAGCGGTTGAGCGCTGGACTGCGAGGCTGCCCGCAACCTCTGCAGCTGGTTCAATCCCCGGCCGCCAACGAGGGTCCCACATGGCATGACAGACCTCTCCTGCCACACCCGCTGCTCCCCTCAGCAGTGTTTTTCATGTCAGTCTGCCTGCTCTGTTCCCCGTTCTGGCTCTGGTGAATTCTCTCACCCTCCCGCGCTTCTGACTGTACCCCATGCTTGCACAAATAAATAAATAAATCATTTTTTAAAATATGTCAAAAGTTTAGCAGACAGCTCTTAATGTAAGAAAATTTAAAAATATAGTAAATTTACTTGCCTATATATGTATTATATGTATATTACATTATACAAATATTAAATGCCTAAATGAGATATTTCAGTGAAAAATTAAAAACTGTGATAGGGAAGCATTATATCATAATTTAATTTGCAGCATATTTTTCTTTTTTTTTAAAGATTGATTTATTTATTCAAGTACTGGGTATCAGAAGTGGGGGAGGGTGAGAGAATCTACCAGAGCCAGAGTGGGGAGCAGAACAGGCAGAATGACGAAATACACTGCTGAGGGGAGCAGCGGGCACGGCAGGAGAGTTCTGTGCGCCATGTGGGACCCTCGCCGGCGGCCGGGGATTGAACTGGCACTGCAGAGGCTACAGACAGCTTCGCAGCCCAGCGCTCAACTGCTGCGCCACCAGGGAGGCCAATTTGCAGTATATTTTTCATTTCATTGGAGTACATATACTAACAGTGTATCTTATAATCAATAATTTCTTCTATTCAATAAAAATCAGATATTATATATGAGAAACATCAAAACCTTTTTTTCATAAAACAATGATTAAACAATTTTTAAAAGCAAACAATAAAATATTTCACTGAATTTAAAAATCTAATTAAAATCAGAATTCCAAAATGGAAAGACAAACCTTGATCATCTCAGCCTCTATCTGCTGATGAACACCTATGTAACTTTTCTTCACCTGCTGCTTGTCTTTGATCATCATGGTAAGCCTGTGTAAGGGTCCAGAATTTAGGTCTTCTGCATGTGTCTTCATTATCCTACTAAGCTGTTCCGTCTGCTGAATCATAAGCAGCCAAGACTTTAAAAAATAATAATAATAAAATTAAATTAATTCTTGTATTAGATGTTTCTGTTTAGCTGTGCTTTAAGTGTTTAAGAACTTAAAATATATATTAAGTTTCACACAAATTATTACAATTATTAAAATGAAAGTTTTCTGGTAATTATGCAATGAGGAATGAATGATTTATAATTAGCATCTTCAAGTATTTAAAAATTCAGTAATCAGAGATTCTATAGAATACTAGCAAAGTGATTAAGAGTCTACTTTTGCATTATTTGTTTTATATAGTATGTTTTTCAACACACTTAATATATTGTTTCTGCATACCACACTCTAATGCTTCTCTGAGGTTACTATTTCCTAATGGTCAAATGCAACAGAAATTCACCCATCTTCATTCTTAACCTGTCTCTGTGTGACACCTGGTCCTGCTGACTCATTTCTTCTTGAAATATTCACTATATACGTGACTTCTGATCTTCCAACATAACTGACTTGTCATCACCCCTTCTTAACAAATATTTTTCAATTGTTCTTCCTTTGCTGCTTATATCTTAAATGCTATTGTTATCTGGAATTCCATCTACCCTCTTTTCTTACTGAATACCAGAAGTCCTCAATGGTTTTTCCAACACAATACATTGTTTCAACAATGTAGACACACAGTGGTAAGTTTAACAGTGCTGGGAGAAAAAGTTATCTGGTATTTAGTCTTCATAACATACTGAAAAATGTAACATAGGAATATTCGGCATAGACTACTTTAAAAACTCTATTCAAAAACAATCATTAGAGACTAAACAGGGTCAGGGAGGATCCATGTTTAAGAGATACAGCCACACAAACAAACAAACACACACACACACACACACACACACCACACAATCCATAAAGAGAGAGAAAGATGGTATCAAAAGAGGTTTTCTGCTTCACTCTTGGTAGAATAAAGTATCCCAGAAGGGGTTTTGAGTCAGAGGATGCTATAACTTGGGGCAAAACAAGGGCACCTCCAGGACATCACAGAACAAAGATGACAACCCACAACAGACAGTACCTTCAAAAATGATGTAATAGCACTCCTGCTCAAATATGCAAAATACAGAGTGAATACTTCCAAATATGTTTTATTAAAGCCAATATCACACTGATAATAAAGCCATAAAAAGATACCTCAAAAAAAAAAAAAAAAAAACCTACCAGCCAATGTATCTGATGAGCACACATGCAAAAATCCTCAACAATATCTTAGCAAACACATTCAACAATGAATTAGAAGGATCATATATTATGACCAAAGGGAAATCCATTCCACAGGCACAGGTATAGTTAAACAGCTGATAAATATTGAAAGTAATTAATCACATCAATAAGGGAAAACAAAAAAAATCGTACGTTCTTCTCAATAGGTTCCAAGAAAACAACTAACAAGATGGCAAGGATGTGGAAAAAAACAAGCCCTCATAAACAGTTGGTGGAAATGTAGACTGAGCCAATTCCTATGGAAAATGGTATAGCTGTCTCCCAAAATATTGAAATTGGATCTGCAATGTAACCCAGCAATTCCACTCCTACTTATCTAGCAGAGGAATACAAAAACACTAATTTGAAGGAACACATGCTCTCTCATGTTCAGTGTAGCAGTATTTACTATATTCAAGCTCTGGAAACAACCAATGTGCCCAAATACACAAATGGGTCAGGAAGATGTGGTATATTTGCATAATGGAATACTATTCAGCTATCAAAAAGATAAAGTCTTGCCATATGCAGCCAGACGGATAGAGTTGGAGGGGTTATACTAAGTGGAATAATTCAAGGATAGAAACAATACCCAATGGTGTCATTTATAAGAGAAATAAAGAAAAACCAAACAATCATATAAAGCTGAATTAGTAACTAACTCTAGAAAGTGGAGTATAAAAGTTAAGGTGTCAAGGAGAGGGAGCTAAATGTACTGCACTGGTATACTATGAGTATTTTGGTAGTGAGTGCAGTGTGGTAACAACAGAAGGGGGTGATCCTATACTTTTAAAAAACAAAAAAATGATATAAACAAATGTTACCTCAATAAAACTTTAAAAAAAAAAAAAAGATCCTGTTACCAAAAGCAATGTACAGATTCAATGCAGTCCCTATCAAAGTTTTAATGACATTCTTCAATGATATAGAAAAAACATTACTGAAAATTATATGGAACGATAAATCATCCCCAATGGTCTATAAAAAGCTTGACCAAAAAAAGAGAAGAATCATGGTACCACACTCCCAGACTTCAAACAATAATACACAGCTATAATAATCAAAACACTATGGTACTGGAACACAAACAGTCATACAGACAATTGAAATAGAATTGGGAGCCAAGAAATAAATACCCATCAATGTGAATAGTTAATCTTCAACAAAAGGGTGGCCTACAAATAAACATTGGTGATAGGAAAGCCTCTTCAATATACGATTGGGAAAACTAGACAGCCACATGCAAAATAATGAAAGTAGACCACTACCTTAAACATACACAAATACCAATTCAAGATAAGAGACTTGGATTTAAAATGCGAAAACACAAAATACATAGAAGAAAACAAAGGCAAAACATTTCACGTCTAAATTTCAGTGAATGTAATTAGAGATTCATCACCAATAGCAAGGAAAACAAAAGAGAACATAAACATTTAAGACATCGTAGTAAAAAGTTTCTGCAGAGCAAAAGAAATCAACTAACATGAAGGAACCCTCTTATACTGCTGGTAGCAATGTAAACTGCTCCAATCACAATGGAAAGCTATGGAGAGGTTCCTCAAAACAGGGAACATGAATCTACCATATGATCCAGCCATTCCGCTCCTAGGAATCTACCCAAAGAATACAAAAACACTAATTCAAAAGGAAATCTGCACTCCTATTTTATTGCAGCGCTTTTCACAATAGCTAAAATATGGAAATAACCTAAACGCTCCAAACGGCCGAATGGATCAAAAAGTTATGGTATACATATATATATATATATATATATATATATACACACACAATGGAATACTACTCAGAAATCAAAACAATAAACTCATGCTATTTGCAGCAACAAAGATGAACTTAAAGGGATTATGGTAAGCACAATATAGTCAGAAGGAAAAAGATAAATATCAGATGGTTTCACCTTTATGTGGAATATAGAGAAAACAAACAAAAGACAGAAAAAAAAAATAAAGCTTGCAAGCTGACCATAGAGCTGAGGAAGACAGCAAGGGAAGGTGAAGGAGAGAGATAAAAATAGGGGAATGAAGAGCATAAAGGACTGCAATGATGGTTCACGGTTAATATAGTTGTGGGAAAACTATGGGGGCTACACCTTAGAGGAAAAACCAAATACTGTACAAAGATGAACAATGATGTAAAAAAAGAAAAAGAAAAAAAAAAAAAAAAACAAAAAACGTGGGCAGAAGAATTAAACAGACACTTCGCCAAAGAAGACATACTGAAAGACCAGAAACACATTGGAAAGACCAGAAACATGAAGTACTGATGAGTTTGCAGAGAAAAGGGAAGCCTCCTATCTTAGTGGGAATGCAGACTGATCCAGCCCCTATATAAAGCAGGATGGAGGTGTCTCAAAACATTATAAATGGATCTGTCATTTTAACCAGTGATTCCATTCATAAGCATCTACCAAAAAATTCAAAAACACTAATTTGAAAGGAAAATTGCACTCCCATGTAGACTGCAGTACTATTTATCATACCTAAATTATAGACACAATCTAAGTGCCCAAATGCTATACACAAAGGAGTAATACTCAGTGATCATAAAAGATAAACTCATGCCATTTGCGGCAAGATGGATAGAGTTGGAGGGGATAATGCTATGTGAAATAAGTTAGGAGGAGGAAGATAAGTACTGGATGGTGTCACTAATATGTTGAATTTAAAGTAACTAGATTAAGAGCCAGATAAAGAGAAGCTTAAAAACTAGCCTTTGAAAGTTGACAACAGAACTGAAGCATCAAGAAGTGGGTGGGGAAGGGGTAAGAACAAAGAGGAAAGGAAGCACAATGGACAATGTTAATGGAAATGGTGATTTGGTGGTGGGTGCACTATGGTGTCAACACCTGATGGAAGTATCCAAATATTACCTGAATTAAAAATTAAGAAAAACATCTATTTTTGGGCATTTGGGTTGTTTCCAAAGCTTAGCTATTATAAACAGTGCTGCTATAAACATAGGGGTGCAGGTGCTCTTTGGAATTGATGTTTCTGTGTCCTTTGGGTAAATACCTAGGAGTGGAATTGCTGGATCATATGGGAGCTCTATGTTTAGTAGGTCAAGAAATCTCCACACAGCTCTCCATAGTGGTTGGACCAGTTTGCACTCCCACCAACAGTGCAGGAGAGTTTCTTTTTCTCCACACCCTCGCCAACATTTGTTGTTGCTAGTTTTTTTAATATGTGCCATTCTCACTGGTGTAAGATGGTATCTCATGGTAGTTTTGATTTGCATTTCCCTGATGACAAGTGATGTTGAACATTTTTTCATATGCCTGTTGGCCATTAGCATTTCCTCTTCAGAGAAGTTTCTTTTTCGCTCTTCTGCCCATTTTTTGACTGGATTATTTTCTTTGTTGTTGTTGAGTCTCATCAGCTCTTTGCAGATTTTTGTGATCAGTTCTTTATCATTAATGTTGTGTGCAAAAATGTTCTCCCAGTTGGTGGGGTTTCTCTTTGTTTTTGTTATTGTCCCTTTTGCTGTGCAGAAGCTCTTTAATTTGATGTAGGCCCAGCTGTTTATCTTTGCCTTCACTATCACTGCTTTGGGTGATGTGTCTGTACAGATGTCTTTGATGTGAATATCACGTAGTGGATCAAGAAGATGTGGTACATATACACCATGGAATATTACTTAGCATTCAAAAAAGATAAACACATGCAATTTGCAGCAACATGGATGGCGCTGGAAGGGATCATGCTCAGCGAAATAAGCCAGAAAGAAAAAGAAAAATACCGGATGGTCTCACTCATAGC